GCGTGCAACGGCAAGGAACCTAACTATTTCACCACACGTACTGGTCCCGTTATCAGATAGAACCATCCTGTTCTATGCCCTACTCGTGATGAGTTCACATAGAACCTTTTGGCCCTACACTCTGCCCACGATGAGTTCAGATAGAACGTTGTGGCTCTAAGCCATATCCACACGTTTATTATAAAACTTTTTGGCTCTAGTCTCTACCCGCGATTCAGTTCAGGTAGAACGTTGTGGCTCTTAAGTCCTACCCGCGATGAGTTCAGATAGAACGTTTTGGCTGTAAGCCCCGCCGGCGATGAGTTGAGATAGGACGTTTTGGCTCTGAGCCGGAGCCTTTCTCCAACTGCGTTTCTCCATTTGCCAGACTTTGATCCCGTGTGAGATTGAAACTGCCTGCCCGTTTGATCACCTTAATCGATTCATCGATTTCTGTTTTCGCTATCACGTGTTTATGCCCACTTCCTCCTCCCTAACACAAAAAGCAAAAAAAGACTACGCACACCACCCATGAACAAAATGGTAACTTAGTGCTTTGATAATGCAGTTGTGTTTTATTTTTATTATTATAATTGTTATAATAATAATAATAATAATAATAATAATAATAATAATAATAATAATAATAATAATAATAAAAAATTGTTTTCGGCTTCAGTCTTTCACGAACAGATTGTAATGGCATTGCTCCCCAATCCCCATCCTATGTCCCCCATTGCCTTTATCTTCCTACCCCCACCCCCCAACTTCAATGTCCAACCCCCCTGTCTCGCCTACCCCAATTTTCAACTGCTCCCCCCCCCCTCTCCAACCTCCTATCGCCGGTTACCCTTACCACCTCCCAAGGTACCAATGGCCAACTCTATTAATTTGCCTTTCAGCACGGAAGAAGACACTCCATATATGAATCTTAAAATTAAAAAAAACCCCGAAACAAAACAAAACAAAACAAAACTAAAGAAACACCTCCGACAAATAAAGAAATGAATTTCAAAGTGGTTGAAATAGAATCACAATCTAGAATCCCGGAAACACACGGACGTTAAAGGCGAAAAACAAAACAAAACAGAGCACTTGGTCCTCACAATTTCCTCCTCTGATATCACAAAAAATATGAAATATTAAAAAAGAAGAAGAAGATGGAAAAAAAAAGAGGCAAAAACAACAATAGAAATTAATGTCTCCGTTACTCTCTCTTTCTCTCTGAGCCTTCTCTCTCTGAGCCTTTTCCCCTCTTCTCTCTCCCCCCCCTTTAGATGATACAATTTAGATGAGATACACACGTTCTCTCTCTCTCTCTCTCTCTCTCTCTCTCTCTCTCCCTCCCTCCCTCTCTCTCCCCCACTCTCCCTTCGCTTATCTATTTATCTATCACACACACACATACACGCACAAACGAACACACACGCAAACACAAACACTAACAAACATACTCACGCGCAAACAACCAAATTAAATACACGCACGGTAACTGTGAAAACAATCGGATATTTAAATGATGTGGCGACGCTAGGATTGTGCGTTGATTAATTTGGAAAGCGAGTTAGATTTATAAAAAAAAAAAAAAAAAAAAAAAAAAAAAAAGCAACTTAAACTACAGGCAAGCACTCAGATTACTTTTGTTGCGAAAAGCTGGATGAATTAATTCTCTATTTGCGTGAGTTCACTCATATGTTACACCCAATACTGCGATGAGGTCAGACGTTATGGCGGGCTGCACACGCACCGGAACTCCCAGGTCAAAAGGTTTCCATGCAGGTATCATGCAACCAACTAATTTAAAAAAAAAAATGTATTGGAGGTTGGAAGGGGGGGGGGGGTGTCTTGCAAATACATGAAAAGAAATATCCTTGTCTACAGAGGAAACTTATCGCGTAACTGCATGAAAAAAAATTTCTCTTTTTACAAAAGAAACAATATTAATGCATACATTAAATTTGATTTACACCCTCATTGACACAATTCAGATTATTTAGAAGGCGGGCTGCTTTGACCCTGGCTGAGATGAATGCAACATTCTTTCAGAAAGAAAGAGATACTACATAGATTAGAAATTCTCCCCACGCAGCAATTGAACTCCTGTCTAGTGCATGCGGGGTCGAAGCGCCTAACTGCTACACCACAAACGCCGATGGTCTATAGTTGCGTGAACCCTTTGACGTGAAGTCTTCGGGTAACTTTTGACGTATTTTCCCTGGGTAACTTTGGATGTGAATCCTACACAGGGTGACCTTAGAACCTGAGGGTGCCGGTGACGTGTGATCCTGCTGTGAATTTCTGCGTAACAGCCCGGGACACCGAGGGGGCGCACGTTTTGATGACGTATCACTTTTTTTTAGAGAACATTCTTAGAGCAGAGCGTTCATAACGACATCATAATTATAAACACAATTTTAAAACAAATTAAATCGAAGATCATCTCAAACCAAACTTGACGTTTTAAGAAGTAAAAGTCAGTTGTGGAATCTACAGTTGAAATTATAGGACTACTACGTATAATTCTTTTTTTTTTATCTCCACGAGTTACAACATTTCATTTTTTTTTCTGTTATGTACGACGTCATCAAAACATGCGCCCAAGAGCATCGTCTCGGCTGAAACACTAATACTATCAAGAAGCCGTGCAGTGTAATACCATAGATTTATAGTGGAACATCCTAGACTGCGCACTGTGATCTGGTTCACTTATAGAGCACACAATTTTGGCTCAATTAGAGCTAGATGTGGGGGCAAAAAAAGGAGGTTGGGGGGGGGGGGATGGTGAGAGGAGCTAAGAAGTGGGAGGAGAGGCGGAAAAAACGGGGAAGGGGGGGGGGGGTGCTGTTCACACAAGACTATAGTGAGAGTGGGGTGTTGCCCTTTATTTAGGCTTACTGTCTCGGACTCTTGAGGAGTTTTGATACATAAAAAAAAATAAAAAATTAGATTCTTTGTTTTTTCGTTTCTTTTCTTTCTTTTTTTTTTCTCAAGCAGAGCGCAGAGCTGTGGCCTTGACAGTGCACGGTCTAGGTGTACAAATCTATGGGTAATACTATATTTGGATCGGTCGTTGGTAGAACAAAGAGCGTCTCCCAAAGACAGAATACTGAGTAAAAGTAAAGTATAGTCCTCCCCTTACCAACTGCTTCAACTTCAGTGCGCAACACCCAGAGGTCACAGTTGGGTTGCAAACAGTTCTGTGGCACAGAAACACGTAACAGCCGGGATGTGCTCGTAGCCATACGCATTAACTTGGAGGTGGGGGTGTTAAACTTTACTTTTCCGTAATACTGAGTAGGCACTTGGAAATACTGTTTTCTTACACGTGTTTATTTGGACTATTTATTTATTACTTACGGCAAAGTTGCGCGGAGGGTTTTTCTTGCGATAAATGAATAAACGAGTTTGTTTTGTTGTTGGATGTTGAGAATGTTTTTTGGGATATTTTTTGTTATTTTTACTTTCTCTCTCCCTCCCTCCCTTCCTCTCTCTCTCTCTCTCTCTCCCTTCCCTCCCTTCCTCTCTCTCTCCCTCTCTCTCTCTCTCTCTCTTTCTCTCTCTCTCTTTCTCTCTCTCTCTCTCTCTCTCATTAATATACCTCTGTATCTCTGCTAAATAATCTCCGCTTCCCTCAAGTCTCACAGACATTTCAACAAATAGCAATACGTTGACTAAGTAATTATGTTATCATCACCATCGAAATAATCCAAACATGTCGTTTGTTATTTGTTGCATAGTAACACAAGGGGGTGATAATAACAACATCATAATGAGCAAAAATATACATACATGCAGTGACATAGTGG